TATATTGCTTTTTTACTAAATAAGGTCCAATTTTCCAGTAAGTTAAGGGTGCTAGATTGGGTCCTCTAAGCACACTGGTTCCTTTGTCTCACATATTTAATGTGCATGAGACAGCCGTGAGAGTGGTATGTACACACTTACACTGCAGCTGTCAGGACGACTTTATTTCTTCACATCCTTCTCTTCCGTCTGTTGCTCCCCTGTTTCTTTCGGCCTCTTGCTGTCTAGTCCCTTCCTCCCCAGACCACTCTCCTCTTACAAACAGCCTTAAGGCACACACGGAGCAGTATCAGGCGAACAAGGACTCGACCAGAAAGACACACAGGGTGTCCCAGACGCTTTGCTAACAAAGGTTGTTAGAATTTATGTGGGGAGGTGTGAAGAGGGAGCCTGTTACCTGCCAGGCCCACAGACACGATCAGGAGCTGCCATCTTGAGGTGCTCTCAAAACCTGCATGTGTCAGTCATTCTCTCCTGGCATGATGGTGAAACACTTCTTTCTCTAAACAATCCTCAAAGCTCATCAGTTAAAAAAAAAAAAAAAAAGCAAAACAAAACAAAACAACAGCACTAGGTGGAGAGCAGACAGAGCTGGGCCCTCAAATACCAGGCGCAGAGGCTGAGGGGTGTCAAGGCAGTATGGAGCACAGGGCTGGCGTGTGCTGTGCAGTGACGGGAGCTGTTCTCTCCCCATGGGGCTTGGACGGTTTCACAGAATGGTTTAGGTTGGACAAGACCTTTAAGCTCATAGAGTCCAACCATTAAGCCAGGGCTGGCAGGTCCACCCGTAAACCGCGTCCCTCAGCACCCGTGTCTACACGTCTCCTAAAACACCTCCAGGGATGGCGACCTCAGCCGCTACCCCGGGGCAGCCTGTTCCAGCGCTTGGCAACCCTTTGGGTGAAGATATCTGTCCTAAAATCCCATTTAGGCCTCCCCTGGTGTCACTTGAGCTTGTGGGGTTTAAGTGTCTCACCTCCTCTCGCCGGCTAACCCAAAGCCGCCGTCCCCTGAGGAGGGCCGGGGGGCTGCCAGGGGACGGGCGGCGGGGGGCTCGTTGCCCGTTACCGTGTGTGTCGCCCCTCAGCGCCCAGCCGCCCGTTGCTAGGGCACAGTCACCCCGGGCCCCTTCCCTCCCTCCCTCCCTTCCCGCTCCCCGCCGCCATTTCCGGCGCTCCGCCGCCCCGTCCGCCGCGCCGCCCGCCCGCGGGGCCCTGGTTCCGGCGGCGGGGCCGCGATGCTGCCCGGCGGGGCGGGCCGGCGGTTGCTGCGGGCCGGAGCGGCGGGCAGGTCAGCGGGGACGGACCGGGCGGGTCGGCCCTTCCCTTCCCCTCCCCTCCCCTCCCTTTTCCCTTCCCCCGAGGCAGGCGCCTGAGCCCCGGGAGCCTCCCGGCCCCCCGCCGCCTGCCCCCGCGCGTCCGAGACGCGTCTCCGCAGAGCAGCGGCTCCCCGGTTGTTTTGTTTCGGTTTTGTTTTTATTTTTCCCCTTTCAGGTACAAAGGGATGAAGAACTGGGGGGTTATCGGGGGGGTGGCCGCCGCCCTCGCGGCGGGGCTGTACGTGCTGTGGGGTCCCATCGCCGAGAGGAAGAGGCGCAGGAAAGGTAGGGCGGGCCGGGGGCGCGGGGGGAGCCCCGGGGGCCGCAGCCCGGCTTCTCCTGGCTGGTAGCAACGCCCCTATCCCTGTCCTTTATTAGTACTAAATTTTTATTATAGTAAATTGTTTTCCCTTGCTAAAGATATAATTTTGGTCACTGTCCTGTTTAGAAATGGAACAAATTAAAAAGTACGTATTAAACAAAGGGCTCTCATTACTTATGTAATGTATTCATTAAATCGATTGGCATTTTCCTAAAATTGTGACTCAGACGTGTTTTCGTGTCCTGCGATAAGTTCCTTACCGAATTGCTGCAGACAAGGCACTTTGTGTTATTTTGCATTTTTGGAATGCAAAACAAACGTGTTCTTATCGACCATTAGTACAAGAGACTCAAAAGTCTCTTGCTAAGCAGAGTCATACAGAAATACTTATTAATCCTTGGCAACCCAGGGGTTTTCGTAACACATACTCACCTGAGCAAAAGAGAAAGCTTCACCAAACCAGCTGAAGCACACAGCAGTGCAGCCTGTGACCCCACGGGCTCCTGTGAAATTGCACAAGGGACTCCTACACTATATATTGTAACCAAGAATTTTACAGTTTGCATGGTAACTTGCAGATGAATCTAAACCTTAGTGCTGTTGATAGAAATCTATTCCTATCAGGAAAAAGAATGAAAAAGATTTTACAGTGGTATAAGCCTGACACTGCCATGTATATCAACACTTTACAGCATGCTGTTGCACGTACCAGTGTCTTCTTGTTTTCATTGGGTGCAACTACCAAATAAACTGAAATAATATAGTTTTACTGTAATTTTAATACCTAACACAACACTTGCTACTGAAAAATAGTAAGGTTTTCCTAGACTTTATGGTGTAAACTCCCATATTTCTGTTTGTAGGGCTTGTACCTGGCCTTCTGAACTTAGGAAACACTTGTTTCATGAACTCTCTCCTGCAAGGCTTATCTTCCTGTCCGTCTTTCATCAAGTGGCTGGAGGAATTTACAGCACAATACAAGACAGACCAGAGCCAGTCCACTGAGCATCAATACTTGTCAGTCACTTTGCTGCATCTCCTAAGAGGTATTTTAACATGTGCTAAACTAAGAAGAAAATACTTAGCATCAGTGTTACCATTTCTAAGCTCCTTTCCTAGAAAGGAAGCTCATGTGGTCTTGTACTCTTCACTTTTTAATTTCCCTCACTTTGAACTCATTGGCCAAGTTCAACCAACTTTCACAGAAGGGTAGAGACCGGAAAGGTATTAAGTTACTGGACTGAGCCTGAACAGCACAAGGCCCAGCTGTAGGTGTCCCCAGAGCTGTTTGTTTCTTGCCCAACAGCTGAAAGTTTTCAGGTTTTCTTTGATTGACCTGGTAATTGAGAAGCAGCCAAACCAGCATCATGCACATTGCTCTGAAGAAGCTGTTTGCCAGCAGGTTGAATAAATCAAAGAGCAACAAGGGCACTGAAAATGTGGTTATGGCTCACGTTGCCACAAGCTTTAACACATTTGCTGTTCACAGTATTAATGGTTAAAACAGTATGAAAATGGACTCAGTAAAATTGAAGAAATAGGAAAATATTATCACAATTAGATGGGTACTCAGAATTCTCTATAAAAGAAAAATAATGCATTATAAGCCAATTTAAGTGTTTTTCCCCCACGGTTACTCTTTTACCAAAAATATGGACTACTAAATGAGATAATTTGTATGATGTTGGATACAAATGTTAAAGCCTCTAAGCCCAGGTTGATAACCTGTTGCAGACTTGCCCCTGTGCTAAATTCACATATCAGTTACATTCTCTCTAAGCACTCTAAATGTTTAAGCAATCTGGTGGCTCTCCCTGGCTTCCCTCACAGGGCTTTGTTTTAAAGGAAACCCATCAGAAGTTTACCTGTCTCAAGATGTTGTTCAAACTAAAATCGTGCTACTTAAGCACATACATGTAACTGATATAAGGATGATGGGGCGTTAATACTGAGGTCTCTGTGACATGGAAAGTACCGATTTTTACCCAATCCGCCAGTAAAAATTTGTCTTTCCAGACAGCGTTTGTATTATTTCTTCTCTCTGTATCAGCTGAGAAACATTTCACTTTGCATATGTATTAGATGAGGAGAATGTATGCAGTCAGTTAGCCTGAGTCAGATGAGAATGGTAATTAATACGTACTAGTTTGATTGTCACTGTCTACCTGTCTTAATCAAGAATAACTCTGCTGTAATCAATTACATGATGCTTAAGTAACATGCAGTCTAAAAGAAATAGATTGTTTTCTAACTGTTCTTTGTGGCTCCTTCTAACATTTTTAAATGCAATGTCTCTAGCTCTATCCTGTCAAGAGGTAACAGAAGATGATGTCCTGGATGCCAGCTGCCTGTTAGAAGTTTTAAGAATGTACAGGTGGCAGATTTCATCATTTGAAGAGCAGGTGATTACAGAACTGAATTTGGACTGCCTGATATACACCTCAGTGCTTAGAGATGGAATGATAGAAAATTGAAGCTATGGTACTGAGTGTCAAATCTGAATCTCCGCTGTAGCAAAAAGTTTGCTTTAAAAAGTAAAGGAAAACAACCATGTGATTGATGAATGGTGTTCTCAGTTTGTTTAGATATACATCATGGAAACCGTGGCTGCTTCAAACCCTCATACTTAATTACTTTCAGGTTTGGTACAATGGAGCCAGTAATATTAAAATAGACCAGATACAGCCCTAACTTCGCTATAGGTAATGGGTCTGTGCGAACATGCCACGCTGCGTCGAGGGATGGGCTCCACTCACATTTCCAAATTTAGTTACATGTAACATACAAGATTTAGAAGTCTTGTTTTCAGTATTTTCAGCCCCTAAGTAAGTGCAGCTGGCCAATGCACTCAACCATTTATTTCACTCATAAAATATGGTTTTATCTTTTGTATTTCAGAGCCAAAGCAAACAGATGTCGATTATGCTTTTATTGAAATCAAGGAAAGCAGGCATTTATGCATTCATTTTTCTCTTTTCCTCCAAGCATTTTAGTATCTTCTGAATTTACATGGCCCAGGATATTTATTTAAAATGTGTGCTGTTACAAAGTTCAGCTTTATAGAAAAAGCTTTTTGGTGAAACTGCATCAGATGCTCAAATTATTACTATTAATATATAAGGTGAGCTCTAAGCAGTAATATTTCCTTTAATTTCCTACTACAATGATATAGTCGTATGTGTATCAGTACTCTGGGCATATGTTTTCATGTCTTTCGTTTTCACTTCATCTAAGTCTTATGCCTCTATTTAATAGGATGCTCATGAACTGTTTCATGTCCTTACCTCTTCATTAGAAGACGAACGGGATCGTCAGCCACGTGTGACACATTTGTTCGATGTGCATTCCCTGGAGGTGATTTTTTTACCAATGTTTTTTCATTATCGGGAGAAGTTTCCGTGGTCTGCCTAGATTCCCAAGTGTGTCAAGTATAAATTGTCTGTTTAGAAACTGAAGATATTTTCATTGTGTTTACAAAGCTGTTCTTTAGTACTCTGATAGAAATTCATCAATAGGCTAGGCAACCTAAAGAATAAAAAAATGGTTTTGGTAAACAAATGTATTTGAATTTATAGTGATCCCACTTCCACGAGGGCTTTTGCGTTCCTAAATCCCTGGAATACAAGGACTGAAATACTAGCACAGAACAGCAGTCCATCTAAGCAGTTACTTATCTGTAAGAGTTGACACATAAAAGAGGTTTGAAAACTGCAGCATGGACATTTATGGAATAGGCCATTTAGAGGTGAAATTTATCTTATCCTCCAATTTAGTGATAAACTTCATGCAGGTGAAAAGTATCTGTCTCTTTTTGTATAAAATATATACAGAATGTTTATAAAATGTAACGCCTTTATTTTTGTACTCCCAGGCAGAGGATTCTGCAGATTAATTATTAATTTTATTAGAAGTGGGTTTTTTTGTCAGTTATAAATTTGTTGGGTACCAGGTTTTTTGGCCCTCCTCAAATACAGACAGACACAAACTCCCACAATTGTTCTAATGTCAGAAAGGCATATTAGGGATTAAATATGAACATATTTAATACTTAATGGTTTCTAAGGTAGGGCTAATGAAATCTTTTATCTTCCTCTAGTAGCAGCCAGAAATAACCCAGAAGCAAATAAGCTGCAGAACAAGAGGTATAGCTTTTTTCCATTCTGAAATATGAATATTCATAATGTAGTTGCTTTGTTTATTAGGGGGATAATATTAATTGATCTTTGTCTGTACTGAACTGAAATAAATCTCTTCAGCTGTAAGAAAATGTTAATTATTTGTCTGCAGGACTACAAATGTTATAGAGCAGTTACTTTTGTTACTGTGGTACAAAAATGTGGAATTGTAGTGATAAACACAGATGTATTGAAATTAAAAAGTTAATTTCAGCTTTGTGTTTCAGGGTCTCTTCCCCCTGTGTCAAATCACTGGAAATCTCAGCATCCTTTTCACGGAAGGCTGACCAGCAACATGGTTTGCAAACACTGTGAACACCAGGTATAAGAATGTGTGTCTGGTAATATGAATAGATGAAAAAGGATGTCTGAGTGTGTTCTGAAACCATCATCCCTTGTTTCTGACATAGTTGGTTTAAGCTCCAAAGGTTTGCAGGACTGATAGCTTAGCCTGTTACTTTTTCAGGTACTTACTATGGTATTGGTGATGAACAAGAATGTATCACTAAATATACTGAAGAAAATTAAACGTGATCCACTTTGTGGGGATAAGCGTTGTCATTATATTTAGTATTCAGTACCACAGCTGTCATATACTGAAAATCCACTTGCATGGGTAGCGGTTTAGGATGAGCTGTTCATTCACCATGAAGTATTGAGATTGCACATGCAAAGCCAAATTAAGTTGCAGTCCAGTTATCCAAAGTAAGGAGACGAAGATAACCTGGATAAAGAAAAAATACGGAAAGCAAATCTCATTTGGAGATCACACTGTAAGAAGACATCTAGTACTTCCACTTTTCAAAACCTTGCAAACAAATTTAAGTGAGCAGGGACAGCTTCAGCAGAAACAGGCACGGTGCTCGGGAAAGTGGGTGGTTTTGACCCTATTCCACCAGATAATTGTTGACAGCAGAGGGTATATGCTCATCTCTTGTGAGGTTGGTTGGACTTTTTTTTTTTTGGACTGTAATAAATTTTAGCTCACTGGATATGTGAACTGTTTTCTTGCAGAGTCCTGTGAGGTATGATACCTTTGACAGTCTCTCCCTGAGTATTCCAGCAGCTGTGTGGGTACGTATCCCTTGCTGACAGACAGTCCAGCCACTCTGCCCATTGCCTTGTCATCACAGCTCTATCTTCACTAGTGCCTTTTTAAGGTGCTACAGCCTAAGTATAAATGAGTAGCTAGTTTATTTTCTTGCCTTTTTATAAATGATCCTGTTGGGCTAATGCAGTACCTTATCACTAATGTGTTGGTGCAAATTACCAATTAATACAATAAGCATGACTTTGTTGACATTCATAGTTTTCTGTTTGTCCTGGTTGAGTAGTTGGTCTTTTCTGTGTCATTTGAACAGACCAGATCATCTCCTGAGGGCTGTTTCTGCATTCTTGGAAGGTGACCTTTGGGTGTGCCATCTCTGTGGTGGTTGTTCACAAGTTACCCAATACAGACTTTCAGATCAAGTGATTTCAACTGGGAATTGATTCTGTTTCCTTTTAGCTCTTGGAAAAACTTCACATGACAAAACATTGTAGATTTTGAGGGCAAAACGTGCAGGACATTTCTGAACTATAATGTTGTGTTATTTAACGTCTGCTAGTGATTTGTCGTTCCAGACAAGTAGCAACTACCTGCACTCATGGAAACTCTGACTCGTACCTACAGTATAAACTCCTGGACAGCTAGGATTGGGATTTGGGCACACCTTCTGCTACTTATGTTTTATTTTATACCATCATTGAAGATTATGCCCTTCATACTTAGAAGTATGTAGTACAGTCTACAAGGAAGGAGTGCCTAATTCAATTAAATGCTCTGTTTCTCCTGTGTAGAGGGTCAGAGTGCATAAAGTGACCCATGAAGTGCTAGAACTTTAGAGAAAAATAGTAACAGGGCCAGGAATCCATAGTTTAAAACTCCACTAAAGGAGTCACACAGGGAGTCATAGCTATTGTTCTTGTCTCAGGCTGCAGGGTTTTCCATGTTTAATGCAAGCTGAGGAAGAATCCTCATAGATATACAAAGTATACAAAGCCAGTTAGTCAGTTTTCTCAAGAAAGAAGTCTGCAATTGTATAGTTTCTGTGGAAGAAATTATGAAAAGTCCTTTCACAAAATTAAGTGGTATGCATCCAAAAATAACTGCAAATAATTTTGGTTTTTTGTACTAAGGGTCGTCCTATGACACTGGACCACTGCCTCCATCATTTCATCTCCTTTGAATCTGTAAAGGATGTTGTGTGTGACAACTGCACTAAAGTATGTCATTTTAATTTATATAACCTTCTAGCTCAGCTTTAAGCCTGCTGATGGAATTATGGCTTCAGTTTTCTACTCCTTTCTTTGTGACTTCAGGAAAGCCTCTCACCTGCCTGTGATTTCTTACATTGAAAATTGAGTTCCTTATCTCAGAATATTTTGAAGCTTTATTTATTACTAATATTACAAAGCTTACAGATGTCTTATTCTGTAACTACCAGGTATTATTTAGATAATATTTGGGATAACTTTTTTGTTCTGGTACTGTAAACAGTATTTTACAGTTGTCTGTAATTTGATGATAACCAAATTTGATGAATTCCGAAGTGGCTTGTTTGAAAACAAACAGAAATGGCATATGACTACACATTAACCCGGAGGCTGGGCTTGTTCTGTAAATGCTTGTTTCTGCTTGATTTTGGTTTAGTATTCTGATGCATTAGGATAGGCCAGCAATTCTTAAGAAAATTCCTAGAAAACTACTGTAGATGTGATTAACGTACTGAGCATAGTTCTAGATAGACAACTGCTTTTGTCTGCAGTGTGCAGACCTGCACTATTATGTGTAGTCTGATACAGCAGCTAATCAAATGGCTTTATTTTTCTCCCTTTGATTTCAGATTCAGGCAGAAGGGACTCTGAATGGACAGAGCATAGAAAACCAGAGAACAACATTTGTTAAGCAATTAAAGTTAGGAAAGGTGAGGCAAGCTAACTGTCCAAATCCATTTTTGAACCCTATTATACAGTCATTTCTATGTTTGATCTCTTTTGCTTGATGCCCACTTCTTGGTATTCTAGACTATGTTAATGTTTTACTTAAAGTAAGCTCATCTGTCAACTATTTGTAGGCATTGGGGCCTCAATTCAGCAAAACAACGAACTGTGTCTTAAAGAATGTCAGTATTCTACTGTTATTCAGTAAAACACTTAAATGTGAGTTTGGCTCAGTCACAGTTCATATGTCTTGCATTAATTCTTGATTTCCTTGGTAAGTGAAGTGATTCGTCTATACAATGTTTGTAGCATCTTTAGCAATTGCACATTTCAAAGAAATTAAGATGATCTAAATAAAACTGGTTTAAACAAGTGAATATGGTGCTAAGCATCAGATGTAATTTATATCAGAAGCTCTTACCATTTTTTGCTCTGTAATCATATAATGCAGAGGACAACAGGGCACTGGTCTGTAATTAACAGCCTTAGATGTCATGAATAATAATATGTACTTAGTGATAGAGGTTAACCCTGGCATGACTGAATGTCAGATATTTTTACCTACTTGACCTTTTCCCCCTGGTACTCTCACTGTGCAAAGCCATTACTTACTGAGTATTAACTAATGTCTTATAACAGCTCACTCCAACAAATTCCAATCCTCATTTCCACCTCACAGATCAATAAGCTAGATGAGACTGATGGGTGAGTTTTTTAGGAACATGCATATATTTCTATTGATTTTTTTTTTCTTCCATTTAGAGAAAACAATTAACGATAGCTATCCTACTGCCTAGGGAGTGAGCAATAGTAGCATTATCAGAAATCTCAAATGAGTTGTGAGTTAGTGTCATGTCAGAGGGATACTACTGCCAGTGAGCTTACACACAGATATAGTAGCATGAAGGAACAGTTCAGTGATGCATTTCCCTATCCACTAGACTTACCAGATCCGTTAGTATGCTTTTAGCTGGAGCAGCTGTTTCTCTTCATTTAAAATCCATTTTGACTCTCCTTTTCTATAAATATTGCTGAAGCTCCCTCAGTGTTTGTGTATCCATCTGCAAAGACTGAGCTGGTCAAACCAAGGCACTCCTCTGAAACGTCACGAACATGTACAGTTCAATGAGTTCCTGATCATGGACATCTACAAATATCGCATTCCTGTTCATAAATCAAGCCAGAATGAGCTGAATCGGAAAAACTCTGAAAACACAACACCTGGAACAAAGGAGGGGATAGCAGTAAAACCTTCAGGTACTTATTTTGAAATGAAAATATATCAAATATTTCTACATTTCAGTGATAAAACATTCTGATTTGCAGAATGAACATAAAAGCAGTATCTTTATTTGGATCTGTGCAGTGAGGAAAGGTAGAAATCCCTTTCCCAGCAAGCATTAGGATACCCTGTTCCAAGTTTACAGTTCAGTTTTGCTAATTTAATTTGATCCTACTAAATATTAAAAAAAAAACCCTTACAAACAAAAGATCTGAGATAGCGTAGAGCTCACATATTTTATGTCCACAGGATGAAGGAATGTTGAACTCGAAGTCCTAGGGATTATCTTGTTAGTGATCTTGTCTAAGGCTTCAGGACAAGCATAGAAGGAATGCAGGAAATTGATGGCTTCTTAAAAAATTATTAGAAAATCTAGCTGTAGAAGTCTGTCACTAGGCAGCTCAATATTCTGTATAGTTGGGATTTTTTAAGTATGGTCATTTTCATATTTGTGTCACGTAAAAACAATTACCGCTGTCTTTGGATATTCTACTCTTCCGCATCTCTTAAGGGATTGTGATATGTAATGAATTAAAATAAGTAAAATACCTTCATATTCTGTGATGAAAGGTACAGCAGGAACAGAAGCACTGTTATTAGCATTACTAATAGTAGCGTTTAAGTTAAATTACTCAGTGTCTACTTTCTCTTGCAGATGCACAACAGCCATCTGGTACTAAACTGCTCTTTATGAATGGTGCCTGCTCCTCTTCATTTTTATTGTCCTCGGGAACTTTTCCACTTGCTGCATTCCCTGACTGCAGGTAAGTTAGAGATTTGTACGTTATCTTCTAGTTTCTGTCCCTTCAAATGATGTCTTCCTTTATTGTGTCTCTATTAGGAGGCTGCACAGTCACAGAATTTAACATCTATCCTAGCTCCTGTGCAGAAATTTTTTGCTTTTCTCTTGGCTGATTTTTAGTGGTTGTCTTTGGTTCCACTTCTCTCCTAGAAAAGGGAGTAGAGCATATTACAAGCAAAACTCAGAATCTCCTTTCTGTGGTTCATGGTACAATAAATCATCCTTCTGAATAGCCATAATCTTCTTCTTCTTTTTTTCTTCTACCCATTCCTTCCATTTTTATCTCAAACTCTGATTTTAAAACTATTCTAAGAAATCCACAGATCTCCTACAGATTTTTTTCAAACATTATATTTAACAAGCTTTATTTAAGTTGCAGCTGCCATGATTTTACTTAGTAAATCAGCCTTGATGCTTCTCCTGGTAATCTGTTTTCTTGGCCTTTGAAAACATTCGCTTATTTTCATGCTGGTGACCAATGTCTAGTTAGTTCTATACCACTTCTTCTATCTGCTATTGCATATTTTCCCTGTGGGGAAGACAATTCACACAATCACTGTGTGAAATGAGAAGCCTGGAAGCATTTTGTGTCAAATGTTTGTTATGAAGACAGTTGTAGAGCAAGTCCTTGAAAGTGTGGCCACTGTTATCTGCAGGTTACTGGCTGCAATTTTACCTCTTCTCAGTTCTAAGCACATTCTTCTAGAACAGTTTTCCCATCTAGTAACAGTGCCTTAAGAACTAAATACTGGCACATTGGTAGGTTTGATGGAAAATGCAGTTGCAATCAGTTGTGCTGTGCAAAATGTAGTAGCCCTCTGTAGCATCAACTTTTAAAATGGTTTGGGTTTCTTGGTAATAGAATAAGGCAGCACTGCAGTGAAGCCTTGGTATACTGAAAAGTAATTCCAAGGCAGTGCGTCTCTTACGGAGCCGTCTACTTGCTCTAAAAAGAAATTGCAGCTGAAGACAAAGCAAGTGGGGCTGCCTCTGGTATGTGTGTGGTCCGTGAGGGCTGCTGACTCTTTCCTTTCTCTCGTTTGTCCTTCAGTTCCCCTGTATACCTCTACCGTCTGATGGCAGTTGTAGTTCATCACGGAGACATGCATTCTGGACACTTTGTGACTTACCGCCGCTCTCCACCACCTCCTAAGAGCCCCCTCTCAGTCAGCAGTCAGTGGCTGTGGATTTCAGATGACACCGTTCGCAAAGCCAGTCTGCAGGAAGTCCTTTCTTCTAGTGCTTACTTGCTTTTTTACGAGCGTGTTCACTCAAGGGTACAGCACCACAGCTTGGAGTTGAAAGCTAAAGACTGATTAAGAGAGCAGAGGACAAAAACTGATAAAATTCTTCTAATGAGATCTACGTTGCACCTCCTGTCTGTTATGCAAATAACCCACCACAGGCCCTTTAACTTCCCCCTCCCTCTATGGCAACAGCTGGCTCCTGCTGGGAGCTGTGTTTTGTACCAAAATTACGCTACCCAAAGTTGGTCCGCTAACACTGCACAGTCCAAAGTGTATCTGTATTAGAGAAGCATTTATTGTTAGGTAGTAATTTTGTCAACAACACAGCTCTGAAACAGACATTTCAAACAGACTTCCCAAGGCTGTATTCCATAGTCTGACATGTATGTAAATTTTCAAAGGGAGATGCTTAATCCCATACATTTCACTGCAGATGTTTCTGAACAGGGGAGCCCCAGAAGCGGTTGATGGGAAGCTACCGTTATCAAAGGCAATGATTTCAGAAACAAAGTGCCTTCAGCTTATTTGAATAGCTACATCATCACTGTCTGAGTCCACTGCATGTTGGTTGCGTTCTGATAAACGTCTCAAGATGATGGGATGAACTACTAACGGAATCAGATGACTCTTGATATCCCAGCTAATCAATAAAGTAAGGCATCTCTACATGACATGCACGATCCAAAAAATCACTTCCCTATTCAAGTAATCTTCCCAATATTTTAGTTCTTTATATATAATACAAGCACTTCTGTTGATTCAAAGTGCTGTTTTCCGGGAGAAAAAATACATTTTTTTGTCTATTAAGAGCCAAGTTCCTGATTTATTTCTCTGTATATTTGGAATATAGCTGAAATCAAGAGACAGAAGCATTTGCTAACAATCAGTATTGTAATTTTCTTCACCACTATGAAACTGTTGAATACAGTTGCTTGTAGTATCGACTACAACTTTTAACGCTGTGATTTCAAGGCTACTGTAATTGGTGTTCTAGACCTGCCCTTCCTATTTTAATGATAAAAGCTGCCATTTCTTATCAACTGTTCAGACACATGCTGCCTGGCTTGCAGTTGAGCTTTAGAGTTTGTACCCGTTGTGATTGTGAACTGAGGTGTATAGCAACCCAAGCATCCTTGTTGAGTATACACGATTGCATCGGGACTGGCGGGCACTTACTTGTCTTGTGAAGTAGTACGGCAGTCTGGAAAGACTCGTGTCGCTGCATTAGATACAGACGGTCATACAAGTAGAAGTAAGGTGTCCCTTGCTGTTCTAGATTGTTTTGACATGTCAAAAAACTAAATCCCAAACAAAACACGGAGGGAAAAGCAGCAAAAATTATCCTCTTGACTGCTTTTCTATTACTGGGAATAAAGTATGTAGGCTGGTTTTAGGTCTTGTCTATCCTTGTAAGCTTGGAGGAAAAAAAAATGCATCAGACAAACATTTTCAGTGTAAAACAGCAGCTAAGTTTTTAAATGGTAATAACTGTCTTAGTAGTTTTTTTAGGGCAACTTGGTACCTCGTACCTTCATATTGCTGCCCAGAGCTCATGGGCATTCAGAGTTCCTTCCTGGGAGGCTGAACCCCAGCCACAACAGGAGTGGTAATGGATGTATATGCAAAACTATTTACACAACTCCTCATTCCAGAGTATGGACCACAATTCCTGCTCCAAGTAATGCTCATATTACATAAAATAGTCTTTATAAATCTACCAACGTACTAATTCCTGATAAGTCTCCCTGTCTGTGCTAGGCTAGCAGTAGCGTGGTTTTAACCTTTCTAAGTATTTGAAAAACAAGAAAAACAAAGAAAAAAACCCCTAGAAGGATGCAAAGTGCCAAAAATGCCCTGGCCATTGAACTAAGACCCAAGGGACTTGCAGAAGGTGAAAGCCCTCTGTTCTGGGCAGCATGGGTGTGCAGTAGGAGCTCCGTAAAGCAGTGCTGGGTGTCATCCAAGAAAAAACATCATGCAAAGCATCTGGCTCCAGCAGGTCTACCATTTGAACCTCAGAACTTCAGAATGTTTCCACTGCCAGCAGCGTATATTCTGCAATACCTCTTCTCAACAGGGTCCGTTTAGAGTTTTTAAATGAATTTTTGTGAAGTTCATCTGAAGAGGTCGCTTTGTTTCGAAAGCAGTAATGCTGGAGGTGGGTCAGAACATATGCACACGATGAACAAAGTCTTAAACTCGTCAGCTTGCAATAGGGACGTAAAGCCACGTGCTACTGCAAGCTTGTGTGTTCAATATATTTTTCCTCTGCACAGAGCTGCTTTCCAACAGGGGGCAGTTTGATGAGAATGAAAGCACAGTCGCTGTACGACACTGATAAACTGCTCAGATTCACTCAGCTGCAGATTTACTCTGAAAGCTTCTCCAAGGGCTATAAAGATGAGGGTTGGGTAGTCAGCATTTGTTCTAGCTTTCACCGTTAGGAAGGAGTAGATGGTCTTGGCTTGGCCCTCAGCGTGAGGAAGGGAGCAAGTATCAGCACCTCGGTCCTGGTCCTGAGCTGTGCCAGATAGTCCCAGCCCACCGTGAGCATCAAAGACCTCTGCAGATGTTTGCCACCCAACCCTCACCTCTTGAAGTCGTTGGGCTCTGTGCAGGCACACGAGGCTCATCAAACACTGTTACTTACTACTCACAAACTTCCGTGGTGGAGAAGGTGTTAATAAAATGTAAAATGTTAAAAAGCACCAGGTAAGATCTCCAAGGATGACATCTCTGTGCTTGGATTATTCTTATTTTGTGCATTATTTAAAAAATGTATGATATAGTCAAACTACTGCACTGCTGTTTGAAGTTGATTTTTCACTTCGGGGTATTTTTGTAACTGTACAGTAGCAATAAAAGAACTTATTAGAAAAAATAGCTGTTCACATGTGATAACGTCTTGAAACAAACACCAAGCTATAAGCCAAACTGCATTTGGCATACGAGACAGAAGCAGGACTTCGCATTCTCTGGATAAGAAGCATTCATGGAGGAGCTCTTCACACTATATATAGAGAATTTTCTAGTAATGGCAAAGGGTGGGAAGTACCAACTCCAAATTTGTCTAAACAGGCATTAATTCCTAACGGACGTACTGCTGAAGGACAGAGCCCATCACTATTTCAGATGTTTGTAGCCTGTTTACAGGGGGTTCAGTTCACATTCTCACTCGGTATGCACCACTGCTTGATTTCACAAGACCTGTGGGTGACTTTGGACGGTGTTTCCTCACTTCAGCAGGATTCACTGTCAGCGTGGAAGGTGATGGCTTTCAGCTAGTCAGAATGGAATCCCTAAGGATAATTATTTAGAAAAACAGACACCTCTCAGAAGTTACAGCCTTTCACGCTGTGTTGTCCACAGGAATTATACAACCCAGTTTTTCCCAAAAAGGTCATCTTACACTCCCTGGTTTCTGTACAGACAAAATCTGAGGAAGAAGGGGCCCTCCCCCTGTGCAGTAGCACCTCGTGCTTCCTCCTGCCCCACCATGCTACTGACCAAGTGAACCCAGTCTCCCATGTCATCAGAGGAATATAAGCAGACAAAAGTCATAGTGACTGTAAAACGTGCAGCCAGCCATGTTGCACTCACTATATTTGTATCTTTGTGCTCCTCTTTTTCATGTCAGTCTCATTTGTATTTTGTTTTTTAAAAAACAAGCAAACCATAGCTCATTGACAGAGCATACAAGAAAATGTCCCCTGTTGAACAGTATCAGCTTCCAGGCTCACTCTAAATGATTACATCTTGTACTTTATGGTATGTATAAATTATTTCACCGCTATCTCAAGGATATAGAGTATTTTGATTTTTTTGGAAAACTGGCCAGATTAAGATCAGCTGAGAACAAACTTGTTTTGCTCAGGAAGAAGGGCATTACCCATTAAAAATATGTATCAGCAGGACTACAGCAACATTTCACAGAGAAGTATTCTTGGCTAGTCGCAGTCTTTATTAGAAAGTTACCAAGTACGCTATCATCTCCTCTCCTGGTTTAATTTGTTCATCTTGTACCTTGGATCATCAAAGGCAGCGTTTGAACAAGGAATTGACAGCTATGTCAGGGAAAAAAAGCTTCTATTTTTTGAGTCAAAAGACCTGGTGTTTGATTGCTGAATATTTCACTTCTTGGCTGCAGTCATCACTTTCCGAAATGTGAGGTTGATTCTTGGGGTCAGTACTCTCTTGCGGGTGGGCAGGCTGTGGTACCAATACACGTTGGTGGGGTACTTCATCATCAGCAGGCTACCGTGGGCTAGCTGCAGTTTGATGGGCTTAATGTGGCGTGTTGCATTTTTCCCCCTGGAATCACAGTGCCTGAAAACAAAGTCCCTGCAAGCTCCGAAGGACACAGACGCGATAGGACTGCGTGGAACCAGTTCTCTCTCGTCATCTCGATGTTCACCTATGTGGTCCCCACCATCTTTATACCTGTACACAGAAGAAATTAATTAGTTCTACCAATCCAATTAAATGAGCATAAAACAATGATCTGTCAATACTGTTGCCCAAGTAATTTTTCATTTGAACAAGTTGCTTGATGTAATTGGAAAAGATACATACCTGTTAATAAGAACAAAATTAAAAGTATGTCCTGTGTCCAAAGTGACGCGGTCTCTGATACGGGTGAGAACTGGAATCCATGGCTTAGGAGAGAAGGTAACACCCGAGTAAGTATATGTTAATTCAGGGTCTCCATAGGTTACCTGCTTCCTTGGAATGTCATGCCATTTGCCAAACACGTGCAATTTTGTCATTTCACCTGTTTAAACAAGAGAAGGATCAAAACCAACTCTGTATTACCTCTGCAGTTTAGAGTTTCAACACCTTTCTTGATTTGGAGCTTCTGTGAAACTCCAGTGGGACAACAGAAATGAAGATGCTGATGACAACCCAAAAGTTGTCATCTGTTTTCAAGTGATGACAACCCAAAAGTTGTCATCTGTTCTCAAGTGTTTCTGTCCCAACAGAGTACTTAACCCTCAAGTTTGACACTGCTTTACTATCCCCCTTGAATGTGTGACAAATGGGATGAGCACCCCCATCATATCCTGTTGAATTAATGTGACTGGTGATATCTCATATATATATACTAACTCCTGCCATCCTTCCAGGTTTACCCCTGTTCTTTGGAAACATCAAAATGGGAATAAAACCATTTGACAAATACTTCAAGTTAAGCAGAACTAACCCTGCAGGATCAAACCTGTGCTTGCACTTCACTTCTCAGGGCCAGATTCTGCAAAGATCAGGCACCTGCAGAAACCTCTCCACCGCCTGGCAGCTCTGCCCAGGCCATGGGAGCCATCCCGGGACTCGCCCTGGGCAGGGAAACGCTTCACCGGGTGGGAGCTGGGGGGTGTGCGCATGCACTGGGAGCTGGAAGCCGGGTCCCCCGACGGCCGTTACCTTCGAAATACTCCACCTCCTCTTCCAGCTGCTGGAAAATCTCGTCAGCCTCGGCCTTGCCGAAGAGGAGCCGGTAGTCACAGCTCAGGCCCTCCGCACGGATCTCCTGCCAGGGGGGCTGTCCCGAGGCGGGCGCCTCTGGCCGCGGCCTCTTCCCACCGTCCCCCGTTTCCCCGGGAGGGCGTTTAACCACGTATCTATCCATCGGCACCGGGGGAGCAGGCGGGGACGCCCGACTCAGGGCAGGCAACCTCCTCCCGAGCAACAGCCCCAGGGGCTACCGGCAAGCGGCCCCCTGAGGGAACGCGGCGAGGGCGGGAAACGCCGGCCCCGGAGGGCAGGGGCGACCGCGCATGCGCCTGGGCGGACGGTGCCTCGCCCCCCCCACCTCCGCTGGGCACCGCCCCCCCGCAGGCGCGCGCTGTTGGAGCCAGATCCTCTACCCGCCGGTTCCCGCCGCCGCAGCCGCTGCCGCCCCTTCCTGCTCCTGCTCCTCGCCCTGTCTCGTCCCCGCCACCATGATCGGGCAGAAGACGCTTCACTCCTTCTTCAGCGCCGCGCCGGCCAAGAAGCGCGGCCGGTCCCCGGAGGCGAACGGCGATGCTGAGGTGGCGAGGGGGGGGGGAAGCTGGGAAGCTGGGGGCGGGGGTGCGCTGGAGAGGGGAGAGACGGGGCTGGAGGTTGGGGGGTAGGCGGCTGTGGAGGCGGGGGGGGCTTGTGGCAGCTTGGGGGGGGGGGGGGGGGCGGGTAAAGGGAGCACACACCGAAAAACCCCGCGCTCTGCACGCCTGACTGACCTGCCCTTCAAGGCCACGCTCCGCTGCTGTCCAATAGGCGCTGAGTGCGATCGTCGCGTCACGGTTGTTAGGCTGAGCGGCTCCCCGCCGGCCGTGGCAAGCCAATAGGGAGAAGCGGGTGTTTCTCCGCTGGCCAATGCGGAGCGGGAGTTTGCGCTTTCCCGCTTGTGGGCGGGACCCGCGGGGGGTGCAGCGGCCAATGGGGGCGCCGGTGCTTTTTGCCGCGAAATACCCGCGTGCCGCGGGGCCGCCCCGCGGAGGGCGTGGCGTGGCCGGGAAATGGCGGTTGCGGGGCTCCTGCGGCTGGGCCGCGCCGCCCGACGCCCGCTCTGCAGCAGCCTCTTCGCTCGCCTTTCACAGGTCAGCGCCGCCAAGAAGGCGAAAGCGGCGGGAGAAGAGACGGGCAAAGCCTCGCCGCTGAGCCCGGAGCAGCTGGAGCGGATCCGCAAGAACAAAGAGGCGGCGTTGCAGCGGCTGGCCGAGCGGAGCGCACCCCCGGGCTTCGGCGAGAGCTGGAGGCGGCAGCTGGGCGAGGAGTTTTCTAAGCCTTACTTCATGGAGGTGAGCGGGGCGGGCCGGCCCCGGGCTGGGGGGCGCTCCCCGGGCTGAGCCCCCGCTTTTCCCCTCCATTTGCAGCTGATGGCGTTTGTGGCAGAAGAGAGGAAACGCTACACGGTCTACCCGCCCCCCGAGCAAGTCTTCACCTGGACGCAGATGTGCGACATCAGGGATGTGAGTAGAGCTGGGGGAGGTCGACAGCTGCTGGTGTGTTTAAAACTATGAAAACACGGGGTTGGGTGCCCAAAACGCGTTGGTTTGGTGCTTGATCTCCTCAGCGTCAGTCCCGTGGGATGTGGATGCTGCTGTTTCTTTCCTGTAGCTTAGAAGCCAGGATTTCCCTTTCATCTCTGATGCTGAAACATGCATTTATTGTTTTATTGCCTTCACTGGCCACACAGTTTCCTTTTAGTTGGACTTTTGACCTTATTTCCAGTGTGACCAACTTAACGTACTACTTGATTTTTTAGATCTCTCATCTCTTGTTTGTTTTTTTTTTTTTTTCCAATTGATCAGTAATGGACTCTAATTTAAAAACAAATCACAGTGTTTAAACTAATCCCATTTCCAGTAAGCCATGTCAAAAATATCATAGCAAGTGTGGCATAAAACTAAAATGTGAGGAAATTTACTTTGAGGCTCTTTGAAAATGTTGGTCTGCACTCAAAATATCTTCATAATCTTAGCAGTGAAGCTGTGGTGATGTTAATCCTTAGTGTTAGGTGGGGGCTGTGTTCTTGTTTATAATGAAATGTCAGTGATTTGACTTAAATTTCTGGGGCCTGGTGTTTTTTTTTTGTCTGTGTGTTTGTTTTAGGATAAAGCTCACTTATAATTTGTTTTTCTTTTTTCTTTTTTTTTTTTTCTCCCCTCTTTTGGGAATAATACTCAGTGCTAACAAAGTTTTGCTTTCAGGTGAAGGTTGTCATTTTGGGACAAGATCCATATCATGGACCTAATCAAGCCCATGGGCTCTGTTTCAGTGTCCAAAAGCCTGTTCCACCTCCCCCCAGGTATGACAGCGCTCAATTTGCAAAATCTCTTATTTACTAATTATTTGCAGTTCTGTGTTACTTATAGCTGTGAGTCAGGTGATAGGAAGTGTGTTGCCTAGAAAAAAAAATCATTGCAAAATTTATAGATAATTCTGTATAGTTTGATATTCTGAAGAGCATGCTGGATGTAAATTTGCATTTTCAGTTGTGCTGAGACCATCTCATTAAGCTTCTATCTAGACACACAGAGGGAAGGTCCTTGTTACCCTGTTTCTACAAATGACTTAAACAATAAAATTGAAATTAATACTTTCTTGCCTAGTTGAAAAGCAGTAAGTGATGCTCTTTGCTCATATCTTTAAATGTGCATATTTAAAATCTGATGTTTTTGTTTGCAGTTTAGAAAATATTTACAGAGAACTGTCAATGGATATTGAGGACTTCACTCATCCTGGTCATGGTGATCTAACTGGCTGGGCCAAGCAAGGTGAGTTAATAGACACTCTAGTAGCATGTCCGCTACAGGTCATGAAGAAGCCTAGCTAGAAAAAAATCCGTGGTTGAAGACAGTCCATCTGTAGAAAAGAAAACCAATTCTGAGTGCTTGTCACTTAGCAGGTACCTTAGACTGAAAATTTATCATTTCTCAGGGAAGCAGGAAAAAGCAGCTAACGTTTGATTTATTTTTTTTATTTTTATTTTTCTGTTGTTATTTTGTTTTGGTTGTTTCATCCTCTGTGTATCTGCTTGGTTTGCTAGGAGTGCTCCTACTCAATGCCGTCCTCACGGTGCGAGCTCACCAGGCCACGTCCCACAAGGAGAGAGGCTGGGAGCAGTTCACAGATGTGGTGGTGTCCTGGCTCAACAAGAACTTGCATGGTGTTGTCTTCATGCTGTGGGGAGCCTACGCCCAGAAAAAAGGCAGCTCCATTGACAGGGTACAGGTTATTCTTCCCTCTCACTAATTTTTTTTTTTTTCTTCAGTTGGGTGGACACTAGAGGGCACTTCACTTACAGAATTGAGTTTTTTTCCCTGCTTGAATTCTACTGTCAAATTTAGTTGCCTTTCTGTTTTAGCTTAGCCTTTGCCAGAATTAAGCAACAAAAGTGGAGCAAGTGTCACCTTGTGTTGTCAGAAAAGTGTCCAGATGAGGACAGAAGTGTTTTTTCTAGGAATAGGCTCATGAATAAGTATAAAACTTGCTGTTAGGATTACAGCAGTTGAAAAATGGCCAGGGCTTTGCATAGGCCATCCTCCTCTGCTCAGTGCGATAAAAGTCTTTGTCCTCATGGCCAGTTCTTTGTGTCCTCAGGCTGGTGGCTGAGGAGGTGTAGAGAGGAAATCACACATGCTTGGCCGGGGCAGAAGCAGCCAGCCTTGTCCAGGGAGATGAAAACATGCAAATCTAACGAGCGATTTCCTTTAACGCTTTACAGAAACGCCACCACGTCCTGCAGACGGTTCATCCCTCACCTCTCTCTGTCAATAGAGGGTTTTTCGGCTGTCGGCATTTCTCAAAGACAAATGAATTGCTCAAGAAATCCGGCAAGAAGCCCATTGACTGGCGAGCGCTCTGAGCTGCGCACAGAAGCTTGTTGGGTCTAATGGTTGGAAACAGCCCCCGTTTCAGGGGTTGTCTTGTTTCTGAAAAACTTTTTCTGACCTGAGAATTACTCTTTGGATGTTGATCAAGGAACAAGTGACCAAACTTTCAGAGATGTTACATTTTTTTAAAATGCTTTTTAAAGAGCATGTTGGAGTGTTAGATGGACAGCTTTTCTACTGTTTTGAACAGGTCTCAGCCTAGTTTGAGGCAAACTTAAAAAAAACCTACCAGAGTTCTCTATTAATTTGTATCTGTGTTGTAATGGGAATAGATTTTCAGGCTATTGTGAAGGGATGTCAATTCTTACAGGTGAAGCTGTTTAGCTTTTGTAAATATCCTGCTGTGCTTCCTCCCACTACTTTGCCTCCTACTGTATAAATCTATATTTCGTATTTGGGGGGATGTGGAGCTGACTCTATGGGAGAAAAGGCAAATGCTTTTGGTTTTGGCTTTTTGCTACAGATTACAAGATTTATTAGAAATATGGCCTCTTGGAACTGTAAAGATCATACACTGTCAGAAGTGTTACTTAGTGTATCTGTACTCCCAAGATTTTGGGGTAAATCCCCCCCCAGGCTGCTGAGAGGAGACTGTGACCAAGGATCTGGTCGTGCTCTGAGCTTTTTCTTGTCATTTAGAGAAGAAAACAATATGCTTTTAGATTCTTACTGGGTGTATTAATCACTTCTGATTGATGACAGGTGAAGCTGTAATGACTGTCAACTTTGTGGTACCTGACAGTGGCAGTAAGAGAGGGTTTGTTCATCAAGATCTGCCAACTGACAGGCCAAAGGTTGTAAATTATTTAAGATCTTAAAACAGAGTGAGTTTTGTGCTTTGCCTTCATAGGAGCAAATTGAGGTTTCTAGCCACTGTTGAAAATAGCTGTTGGGACTTCTGGAACAAAGATGAGGTTGGACTTCGCTTCTGGGTCTCCAGTCCATCTTGACTTAAATTTAATGGAAGTGCCTTGTTTGTTTGGAAATGACATGTTTTTTTTATAGAATACCTCTGTAAAACTTTCTTTGGTATTTGCTCCAATAGGTAACACTAGTGCAAGTGAAGTTGACACTTGCTGTGGCTGTGTTTGTATTTTTGTTTGTTGGGGTTGTTTTGTGTTTTTTTTTTTCCTGCTCCCCACCAAACTGCGTTTTAAATAAAAATTCCTTTGTTTACGTTGTGGTGTGATCTTACTAGTGGGAGGAACGAGGGAGGGAAGTGTGCCTGAGGTGAGGCCTTGGCTTTGCAATGGGTGCTGGCCTCGGGAGGGTGTCCCTGTTCTCCCTGGGGGTTTCCCCCTGTTCCCCCCGGGGGAGGCAAAGCTCTGGGTGTGTAGGAGTTTGTCCTTGTCCCCGTGTCCAGGCACAGCGCCAGGGCACCTTTGTCCCTCAAGGATCGGGTGTCTTCCCCGGCCATACCCAGGCACCCCCCCCCCTTGCTTTTCTCCTCCCTCCCTTCCAGCAGAAGTTTTCCAAGCATGTTAGCAGGGAAATATTTCTGTTTGACGTTACCGTCACGTGCGAGAGCCCAACCGTAACGGGGCTGCGAGTGACGGGGACACGGGGGGGGCCAGGGAAGGCGCTTCTACCCCCCCGAATTGCGGCCCTCACCCTGGGGCCTGGCCCCGCCATGGCTTTCGGCCCGGCGTGGACGGCGTGACCGGCTGAGATAAGCGTGACCGGGAGTTGCGGCATGGGACGGCACAGCCGGTGTTCGTCCCTGCCAGCACAGGAGGGCTCCGCACCCAGGGTGAGTGGTCCCTTTTCCCCTGTGGAAGGGGCTGGCGCTGAGGGAAGGAACAGGGCGGGGCTGTGGTGGTTTTTCCCTCAGGACCATCCCCAGCTTTAAGTGCTTGGGGGTTCGGTTTAAGGGCCCCTGCTCTGTGAGGGGCCACGCTGGGGTTGGTGGAGCAGCTTTGCTGCCATCCTTAGGATTCTGCGAGTGGCTGGGGAGGTGGAGGGGATAATTGCAGCCCCCTCAGTGCCACATGAAGGCAGAGCAGTGCTGTACCACCTCCCCCCACCCCAAATCATCATTCCCTCTGCCTGAGCTGCTTCTGTTTTGGGGAATAAAAATATCTTTTGCTCGGCCTGCAGTCGCCCTGCCTGAAGGGGAACGGGTCTGGCTTGGCATTGGGGGGGCTGCATGTGTAGGGAGCAATGGGGAAGGGGGGTTTCTCAGTGTTTTGAGGGGCTGCTGGAGTGACCCCCAGCTGATGGGGGGGCCCTGGGTCATCCCTCACAGAGCGTCTCCACACTTCTCCCCAGGGCAGGTGAATGCTCCTGGCCGCCTTGCTCCTGCTGGTATCGGTGCTGCTCGTCTGGGCCAAAATGTCCAACCCTCAGCCCAGGGAGGAGGAGAAGATGGAGCAGACCCCGGCAGAGCAGCCGGCAGCTCCCGCTGTAGCCAAGCCCCCGGCATGGCCAAGCCCCCCGGCCCCCAACCCGCCATCACGGGCCAGCAAGGCCGTGGTGGGGGAGCAGGAGCAGATCGCCGTGTACAACCCCGCTGCTCTCCGCCGGTCGACCCTGGCCAAATTTGTCCTGGGATCCTTTGAGGACAACTCATCCGACGATGAGCTGGTGGCCACGGCCTTCAGGGTGGGCAGCCGGCGCGGCAGCCTGGCCGGGTTGGGGGGCACTGGCACTGAGCCCCCCACCATGACCACCGTGCCGGAGTCTGTTGCTGGTATGAGGTACGACGCGTGGGGTCGTGAGCAGCAGTGCTGCAAAGATGCTCTGTTTGGGGTGGGCAGATGCTTTTTGTGGCTGCATTTCTCAGGGACCCTGTTGCTAAAATTGATGGGGAGGAGGGGGTGGGTGCTTCTTGGAGCTTCAAATAGATGCGTCCATCCTGCCCCCTTTAATTTGGTGCTGCATGAATAAACCCTGATAATAAGGTTAATGGCAGCACGCCAGGAAGAGCAGATGTGCTCGAGCGCTCTGTGTGACAGCAGTGCCACATGCATGAGAGCAGCAAGGACTGGGGTTGTTGCTCCATTACAGTGCTTTTGGATGTCAAAGAACAGGGTGGAAAGTGCTTTTAGTGTGCATGGTGTTCCTTCTTGCACAATCCCCAGTGTTGCAGCCAAATTGCCCAATTACTCCTCGTTTTCTTAGCTATGGTTGGCACAGGATGGGGGTGCACCTGGGAGTGGGGATTTTCTTGCATGGCCAGAAGAGATTGGGTTCGATTGAGGTGGTGGGCATGCAGCTGGGCAGCGGCAGGCGCTGCTGGTGTTTTCCCTGTGCTTACTATCTTTCTGAGTGCCCATTTTGTGCATGAGCATTTGTGGGAGAATTTCATGGGGTGTATGGAAACCTGCAAGCTGAGCTGAGCCTTTTGACAGGGCAACTGTGTGTGCACATGAATTTTTGCACGCAAATATTGCCCTGTGCCCTCAGGGCTGGATCCCACAAGGACCTGGTCCCGCTGCTGGGTTCTGCTATAGGGGGAGGATGTTAACACGGTCCTGGTATTGTGCGTGGGGAAACACAGCATCCCGGGAGGAGTGGGGTACGTGGGGTGTTCCTGTGCCACTCCTGCCCTTTTCTCTACCCTTGCAACTACTGCAGGTAACTTATTCAAGGCAGACAAGTAGCTCTTTAATGGTTTTGATGAAAAGTGGATGAGCTTTGCTCCATGAGTAGCTTTGCAGAGACTTTTGCCTAGTGCTGGGCCTGCTGCCTTGTGCAGAGCAGCTTCTCCTGTGAGCACAGCTGACGGCCATTACAAATAATTGGAAACAAAGCACTGCTGCCCAACTCCGCCTGGCTGCTTAACTCCTGGTTAAAAATAAAAGACCTTTAGCTGCAGGGACATGTTGTGAAACTTAACAGCCCAATGGTGTCTTCTTGCCTGGCTGGGGTTGTGTGTGGTTTCACGCACCGCATTGCTGGTGGGGTATCTGTTGCTTATCTGCGCTTTAAGATGTGAGGAATTTCCTCATGATGCTGCTCAAGTCACATTGTAGACATGGTTGGTGTAGTTTGCAGGATGGGATGGGTGTGCTGGCACAGGCTTTGGGGTGAGGTTCGGGGCTGTGGGGGGCAAGTGGGCAGCACAGCCAGCCCCGGCAGCTGCCGAGTGGCACGGGGGGATGCACTGGAGTGCGATAAACCTGGCGTTGTTCGATGCAGTGCTCCAGCTTCTTGGAAATACCCTCAGTGCATGGAAAGACTGGGACATTTCCCAACCTCCCAGGGGGTTTTGACACATTTCCCCTTAAAATAAATGTGTCAAGTGCTACTCATGAGAAAACTGCTCATTTGGGGTGGGGGGTTGGTCCTTCTTCGTTTGCTTATTTATAGCTCATCCACGGAATAACAATCATCTGTTCAAAGTCTGGCAGAGTTAAGAGGGGGGAATGTGAACCTGCTAATTCAAAAAGATGCTTAAAACTCTGGGAGGGCACGTGCCTGGCTGCCAGCTAGGTCACTGCTTGCCCGCAATGGGCTGTCCGGTGTTGCCAGACCCTCCTGCGCTGGCCGCAGCCGGGCCAGGAGGTGGGAGGTGCGAGGGCTGCTTTAGGGTGCTGTTGGGGCTGGAGCCCTGGCGAGGGGCTCGTCCGCTCGTCCGGCTGCCACTGCAGCCCACTCCGACCTTTGGGAATGCATGATGGGCTGCGAAGCAAGGAATAGACTCCCGAGGGCATGGAAATGCCCTCAGTGGAAAACCGTAGGAAGGGTGAGTCTGGCCGGCAGTGCGGTGAGCCTGGGACGGTGTTTGGGGGTTGTGGAGCAGGCAGTGCGGGTAGGTTGGGGTCTGATCTGGCACGGCACTGCGGCTGCTGTCCTTGCAAGCTGTGCAAGAGCAAATTCCCAAGGCAGCTGCTGTGTGCATTGCGTTCTTTGCAAGGTTTCTTGCAGAGCGCTGCCTGTTCTTTGCTCTCCCTTTGGTGACTTTATTGCAGCTTGGGGTGGTCTTGGAGCCCCTTGGAGACCTGCTGCTCATGCCATGGGGTTTAGAGGCAGCAATCCCACTGGCCTTGCACAGAGGCTGAGGAAGGGATGCTCTGTGCCATCCCGTGTACCTGTTGCCCTTCCTGCCAACCAGCCGGGCTGTTCCAGGCGTCCTCTGGGGATGTGAGGGTTAGATTCAGCTCTGCTTGGTGTGAACCGGGAGCTGCGGGGGCTTTGCAGCAGACCTCAGCCACTGCAAAGGAGCATTTGTTCATGGAACGATGATGGCAGCTCGGTGCTGCAGTTTGAGCCTGTGGGAGCCTCCCTATTCCTGTCCCTTGGAGCAGTGTGTGGTGCGTTTCCAGCTGTAACGGGCATGGCCAGGCTGCAGTGGTATCACCTCTCTGAACACACATGTGTTTTCATGCACCGGCCAAAAGCCCCAAGCAGCTCTCTGCTCCCTGAAATGCAAGCCCCAGGGCTTTTGGCCGGTACAGTGGGGTCTTAGGCCAGACCCTGCAGCTTCAAATCTTCTTGTTGTGGCATTTGAATTAATGTGGACCCACAGCTGCTGTGTGTGTGTGTCTGTGTCTGTGTCAGTTTTAATTGCAAAACACGCTCTGTTCACCCCAAATTGCTTGCCCCATATAACTCAGCCAAAAGCACTTTTCCTCTGCAGTGTTGCAGTGGGTGTTAAAGGTCCCTGGAAAGGTCCAAGTGCGCAACAGGGAGCTGGTAGCAAGGAAAGTGAATCCCGATGTTCCCTGCATGTGTCAGCAGGCTGAAGGGTTTTACTGCTTTCCTCAGAAGAAACCATGGAGGGGGCACAGTCTGTTCTCCAGCGCCCGCTGCTGCAGGTTGCCAGGCTCTCTGCAGATCCAACCCCCCAGGGAAGCTCGAGCCAGCAGCAGCACACGTCGCGCCCGGTGAGGGTTTGCTCGTGTGACTGCAGGCTGGCTGACGGCTGTCACGTCCCGCTGCAGGCCTAGCATGTCCGGGCTGCACCTAGCGAAGAGGGGCCGCGAGCACAGGAAGATGGATCTGCAACGGGACTTCACCGTCGCCTCGCCGGCAGAGTTTGTCACCCGCTTCGGCGGCAACCGCGTCATCGAGAAGGTTTTTCCCCTCACCCCCCTGCCTTTGCCCCGGGTGGTGGGTCGTTGCTTTTCACAGCGGCATCTTTGAGCGTTGCCCCAGTCTCCTGCACCCACCAGGCTTGGACTGATGACAATTTGGGGCAGGCCAGAGCATCTTGTCCCCCAGCTTCATCCTCCC